CCTGTCGCTCGACGATGCCATTCTGCGCCTGGGTGTACGGCGGGGACTGCTGGTGCTGCTTCAGGTGCTTCTGACGATGGCCTGGAAGTCAGCTCCGAGGAAGATGGCATCGGAATCCGTCTGGAGTGCTGTTGTTGTGGGTGAGATGGGGAGCTTGGTCTCGCGCAGGAAAGACTGGAACGCGGCAACTGCGTCCTTCTTGGCATTGAGATGGACTGCATGCAGGAGCTTGCTGCCCTCATCGACGATGACGAGGCTGTAGCGCTTGTCCGTGGGCGAGTCCGCGGTCCAGTCGACGATGTCGGCGTGGATGCGCTCGCCGGGCACCTGTGTGCGTTCCGCGTGCTTGCTGACGCTGTGACGAGTGCTCTTGGTCACTGCGCACGTTGTACACTGCTTGCTGCTGATGGCGTTGCGATCGTCGATGCCCATCAGCTTGCAGTACTGCTGCACGTCGTTGTCGTTGCGGTGGCCAAGCACCTCATGCATCGATGGTGTCTGCACCTTGCTCTGGGCTGCAGGAGCTGCTGCGTGTTGCTGTGGTTGCTTGCAGGCATCGGTGGTGAGTCCGTGTGCCGTGGATGGACCAACAGCAACAATGGGCCAGCATCGGAGGCTGCTGCGCTCCTTCAGCTTGACCTCGGCTCCGTGGCTGAAGCGCACGTAGTGCCCATCAGCGCCATCACGCTGCGAGTGGCCCGTTGGCCTGCCGCTGCTGTCCCTAGTCAGACGACCGAGGGCGATGAGGTTGGCGTGGCCCTCGGGCACGTAGAGGCACTCCTGTAGCACAATCTGCATCGTAGCTCCGCTCGTCGTGCGTGCATGCAACAGCACAGAGCCAACACCGCGCACGGGCACACGTGTGCCGCCAAACGCAGTGATGTGGCGTGTATGGTGCTGTTGCAGGTGCGGTGACAGCTCCACGAAGGCGTCCTTGACGAAGGTGAGGTGGTGTGAAGCACCAGTGTCTGCAAGCCACGTGAGTGGGTCATGCAGCTGCGTGGTGTAGTAGCTGTGGCAGCGACGAAGGTTGCTGCGTCTTGACCATGTGATGCTGTGCCTGTGCAGTGAAGCC